TATATATATATCCAAACAACGTACGACAAAGAGTACATTGAAGAAAAATTAGACATTCAACAATCAAAGTAAGAAAGCGTGAAGAATATTCAATTACGGATATCGGGAAACGACCAAGTCTAAATACTAAATATATACCACACGAAAACAATGCGAATCGAAGAAAAGCAAGCTGAAGAACACCTTAGTAGAACCCGATTGTCAATTAAAAAGACAGAAGAATCAAATTTTATTAAAAAAAAGTGAATTATATATAATGTGATAAAAATAGAATCAAGACAAAGCACACGAGGTAAAAAATAGCAAGTATCTAGAGTTTATTTTTTACTTCCATTTTGAAATTTGAAGCTTGCTACAAAAACAAACAAGAGACTGGTATCATTACAAAGTCACCAGAGGATGTTCCTCTTATTAAAAATAAAAAATTATCATCTACAAATATCAATATCCCCCACAACTTCAGTTATTTGGTAAATTATATAGTTACTGTTTCTACAATGATCAACGCCCCACGGCAGCATGGCAATATGCCACAGCCAAAAAAAGAAATCGCAATTCCAAGCCGGGGTGAGCAGGTGAGTGGGCCCGCTGTTAGCGTCAACTTTCCATCCTGCATGTTCTGATAGCGGACAGAACAGCCGGGGCCGGGCAGCGCCGCCTGCTGGCCTCCATATCGCCGAGGACGATACTCATCCATCCCCTCCCCTCCCCTCCCCTCCCCTCCCCAGCCACCTGTCTGAGAAGACGGGGCCAGTGCACCGAACAGCGAGCGTCGCGTCTTCCAAGGAGGTCACAGCCGCGGAACTCGTAGCATCGATTGCATGGAACCCTCGCATCGATTCGCGAACTCTTTGAGAGCGAAATGTAAAACGCGTTTCCGGGGTGAGTAGGAATATATTGACAAGAGGGATATCAACTATTAGATTATTAGTCTCGTACGATTACTGCATGGCTAGTTCCGGGAGGTGGCGGTGTTCTCTTTCCGTTGAAACGCGAGATCCGGAGCCAAACTTCATGGCTTCCAGGTTGTTTCACTTCCAGCTATCTCCCCCCAACGAGACAATATCCCACACCGGACAGTTCTAAGCTCCTGACTGGTCGGTCCCTGTATGACGAGATCTGGCGCCATCCTACCGTTAGCTACCATCCAGGTATCTCCCACCAGCGGGGCACCGCCCCAGCCGAGCTCTAAGCTCCCGACCGGTCTCCCGGCAAGTGTGCATGTTTGTGTGTGTGTGTGTGTGTGTGTGTGTGTGTGTAGGGCAAGTAAGATGTGGGAAATATCAGTAGCCCGTTTGATAGGGTACTTCTCCGGCAGTCGCCTGGTGTTGATTAGAAAACTACCGATCAGAGCAGCCAGCCGCTAGAATTCTCGACTGAACTCGACTTTGCAGACAAGCTATTGCCGAAAATCCTGCCACCGCTGGGACTCGAACCTAGGACCTCTCGGTCAGAAGGACTGCAGTGGCCTCAGTTGATGCCCTGAGCCATCTCTCCCGGTGCCCTGACTGGTCTCTCGACATGTGTGATAATGTACTGTGTGTAAGGGAAGAGGAGAGGGCTAGGCTGACGATACCTGGAAATTTACCGGAGAGCATGATGCATAGTACGATACGCATTTCAGAATCAAATGGCATCAGGTTCATCATTGTGTTTTTCGGTGTCATCCAAACAGCATAAAAGGCCTTGCATAAGTAATTGTAACTTCAGTCTAAATGATGTATCCAAATATCCGCTCTGTGGATGGGTGATTTAAAGTGATCTTTGTTTCTATCTAAGAAGATCGGAATTAGAATGAATTGTATAAACAAAATGTTCTAGCGTTTTTATCTAATATTAGTATTATTATAAAAAATGAGTAGATTTTTCTAATATTTCTCAACAGAAACCGAATTAGACGTTTTAGGATCATAGCGCTTTTTAGCTGCTCAAGGATCAATAGCATTCATTTATTCTGCTAGAAAATGATTTAGCAGACATGTGTATTAAAATAATGACGATAAACGGCGAAGATCAAAATAGGGTAAAAGATAAGAATCTGGGTCTAATAACCATATGGCGTTATGGTTGTAATGACCATCTCCGCGCATATACCTCGAAAACATTAAGCATTGGTGTTGTAACAAAATGTGGCAATTAAGTGAATAATTAAAGAAAATACATAACAATCTTATTGCTGTTCTGATGACAGAGAATTATCTTATTGACAGCACGTATGATACACATTCATAATAAAACAGCTTTATTCATTAAAATATTTTGTTATGCAATATGAATTTCAGAGCAGTTGGATGGTTAAATTACTATTCTGTTTTTTTCTGAAGTCAGCGCCTATTCAAATAAATATAAGCAGCAATTAAGCGTTCCCCAAACAGAGTCAACACCAGCCATGAAGAAACCTTGAGCGGTGAGCGGAATTCAACACGGCCGCCGAAGACAGACTGGAATGCGGGAAAGAGAGCCAGCGTCCGGTCGCGACCGCAGTGATGGTACGCGGTGGTGGCGGTGGAGGTGACAGCGGCGGCGGCGGCAGTGGTGGTGGCGGTGGCAGCAGTGGCGGTGGCGGTAGTGGCGGTGGCGGTAGTGGCGGTGGCGGTAGTGGCGGT